CAGTTTGCAGAGCTGCGAGTCTGTCCGTTTGTCTGTTGTCACTTAATGGACAGAAACACATTTTTTACTCATCAGCTGACGACTTACTGCGCACACTGCAGAAAACGCACGGCAGCTTTGGCTGAGAGCAGCCGAGGACAAACTGATCACGGTAAATGTCAAATGTCGCCTTTGTTTTTCTTCGGTGCGCAACGTCAAGGATTTGGTTCGCCGTCGCTCCGCAAGCAGCTCAGGTTTGTTTGCAACGCGCCACGACGGTCCGCCATGATGGATGGAAGTTAAGGACCTCATGCTGCCCCACCTCCTGTCTCATCTGCTTAACTGTTCAAAAAACAAAAATAAAAAAATAAAAAAATCATGCTGTTCTCCATCAGGCGCTCCACGGGGAGCAGAAAAAAAGAGAAATGCACAATATGTGTTGATACTGTTGAATTGCACACAATTTTAAACTCTGAGGACTGCTGCTATTGCAAACATCTCCCACGCAATTTCCTGTCTCACCTGCTCATAGCAACACAAAATGAGTGAAGATTTCAGTCTGAAAGTCTCTTAAACGAGCAGCTGACAACTATTTTAAGGTTTCAAAACATCTACCGTGTGTGTAATTTCTCAATTTCTCCAGCAGTTAATGTTCCTGGATGACTAAACTTGTCAGCAAACTTTCAAAGATAAAAAAAAAAAAAACAGACACTGACTGAAATCACACTTTAGGCTTATCTGAAGAGAGTTTCAATGGAAATATCTGTTTTCATTCCTTTCTCTGTGAATGGTCAGGGTGGTCCTGTCCAGGATTCCCAGTTGGCTAGAGAGATTTTGATCGGAGCCGATGAGTAACGGGGCGGCATAGTTCTCAGATGAGTCGAGGCTCCGCTTTACTGTTGGCTCGGCTTGAGATCTGCAAAAGGCCGGAGAGATGAGTGGCAAGGAGATGAGCCGACGGCCAGTAACGGCTCGACACACAACCTCCCCCCGCCCCAGAAATTCGCAGGTTGTTTACTTGCACGGCGTCGTGCGACTCGCGGCCAGGACGGAGCGCCGTCTGAAACGGGAATATGTCACACAAGATCGGCCGTTTCTGATAAATCAGCAGGCGGGAGGGGCAGACGCTCAGAGCGTTCTGCGAACACCAACATTTTATCAGCTTTTAAGATGAACCAACAATTTTTTTCTTTTTTTTTTTTTTTTTTTTACACTGTCTTCTGAAAAACAAAACTGAAAAAAGGTTTGTGGGTTTCAGGCAAGGCTTTACTATTTAAGGAGAGGTGTTTGGCAGGAGGCAGAGATGCTGCCAGCAGATGTTTCACATTTTCTCTCAGGGTGCCCACACACTCTTCTCACCTGAACTCTAAACACCTTCTCTGACTTATCTGCTTCGTTTTCTGTCCTTTTCATCTCTCTTGCATGCCTCCCCTGCACCTTTTCAAGTTGGAACCGCCATTTAAAGGTTTCTTATCTGGTGGCAACAACACTTAGCTCTTCTGATAGTATTTTAAATGTAGCCTCTGGCTTCAAATGCCAATAAAGGTTGATTTAAAAAAAAAAAAGTAAAGAATTAAACGAATCAGTACTGACTGACATTTAGATCATAGTCATGTTCATAATCACAAGTGTACACTGCAGTGTCTCACCCATACAACTTTTCACATTGTGTCGCGCTAAAGCCACAAACTTTAATGTATTTTATTAGGCTTTTAATGTGACGGACCAATGCAAAGGCGTGCATGCTGGTGAAGTGGGAAAAACAAGATTCATGGCTTCATTTTTTTTTTTTTTGACAAAAATGTTTTACTAAAATTGTAAAGGATTGTACAAGATTTAAATAAGTGCGCTTCAGTCTGACACCCTGAAATAAAATGCAAGACTAGAAAGCAATTGTCTCCAGAATTTACATATTTAGTGTATAGGTTTTTCCATCTATTTCAAGTGACAGGAAAACGTGAATCAGAGAAGCAGAAGCAAGAGAATTTATCCGCAAATCAACTGCTTGTCACAAACTCCACATGTCTGTCCTTGAGTGGCAAGAAAAAAAAAAAACATGGATGAAAGAAACCCATCTTCATGGTAAAACGTAGCAGCGGCAGCATCATGTTCTGGAAACGCTTTACAGTAAGATTAATAAAGTTAAATTCAGGTTAAATTCCATGCGGTGAACATCTGTTAAACAGTTGTGTTTTTTTTTCCCACAGTCTCGGCATGGATCCTTAAATCTGATCTGGTAGCACTTGAAGTATTTTTGGGGAGAATATCGGACAAACAAAACTCTGAAATCCAGATGTGCATATCTGGCTGAGACATATCCCAAAAGATTTGTTAATTTTATCGCGGCAAAAGGTGATCCTGGAACGGACTGAGCCACAACTTTCTTGCAGAAAACAAACAAACAAACAAACAAACAAAAAATAAATAAATTAAAACACCTCTATTATTTTCCTTCCACATCACAATTTTGCACTGCTTTGAGTCGATCTGTCAATTAGAAGAGACATGTCTGAGTTAAACATGACAACATCTGGAAGGTGTAAAGGGTGCTGTGGATGACAACAATCGCCCTGAGGCTTTCACAGAGTAACTGTGCTTTTCTATATTGTGTGTGTACAAGTAAATGTCGAAAGACTAAATCATCTGCGACTGCGAAACAAAGCAGCTTATGAACCAAATTCAACTCGCACACAATTATTCGCTTAGGTAGAGCCATGTTTCTGCATATTTTTAAACTCTGGCAAGTACAGAAAAAAAAATAAAAATCCCTGTGTGCTGTTCACACTATTTACACGCTATTTACAGCTGCGTGCAGTATTCAAATGAGTTTTTTTTTTTTTTTTTTTTTTTTTAAACTGATGTTCAAAGGTCACACTCCTCTTGTGTAAATGCCAAGCTCACAACATGTGGAACATCAGGAAATGCAACTAAACTGCAAAAAGGAAAGTGACATTTCTGTCACAAGAGTCGAGCCAGGTGGTTATTAGTTCACTCACTTCAATGCATGACTGGTGAAGAGGTCTGCTTTAAAAAAAATATATACAAACTGCAAAATAATCCGCCTTCATTAATGGATCTCGGATGGACAAAGTGTAAAGCGGTACATTTGTGGGTCAAAATGTTCCTTTAGTGATTCTAAAAAAAAAAATCATCTAACCTGAAAAAGAAAGTCAAAGACATTTAGTTCAATTTCAGACTTTTGAAATCGGTGTCGCTCTGAAAGCCTGCATGCATTTTCAAAGGTCTCTGCAGCTGGAAGCAGCAATCCGGCGAATAAAATGCATCTGTTGTCCATTGAGTTTAATGTGTGCTACTTAATTATTGGTTGTAAATTGTTTACTTCACTTGAATAAAACAAAGATTTTCTCACACACAAAAAAAAATAGTTCTCACCAATCAAACCCGATGTGCCGTTTGAATAAGGTCGACTCATTGGCTCGCAGATTTGCTCTCCGGCAGTTAGACGGTGATGCAGATTAAATTATGAATGTAAGCTCTGCATTTTGTTTTGTTTTTTTTAAAGATAAATGAAAATGACATGACATAAACCCAGCACCAATCTACTGACTTTAGATCAAGATTTTTTTAAGAGCAGCTGTTAGCATAAATTTAATCCAGCCATCATCAGAATCCATGGTGAGTAGTCTAGATTAGCCTGAGCCGCACACGCACGGACGGCTGCAGCACTTTTTTCAAAAAAAGTATGACTGGTTGCACAAACAGTATCTGCTGTAATATTTAACCATGTTGTTGTGGAAAGACTTTTGAATTTTTTTAGTAACAGGAAGCCAGTAGCCTATAGAGTGTTGAATAAAGAGACGCAGCTGAAACAATGAATGCATGCTTTTAGGCAATGGCGGCACAAACGAACATCTGTCATGCTTGTTTCGTCCGTTGTTTACAACTTCCTGTCTCCGCCGGCAAAAAAAAAAAAAAAAACGGTAAAACCGTCACATGCAGTTATGTAAAAATCACAAGTGAGGCGACGTGACCCATAAGACTGAGGCCACTTTAAAAATATAGATATGTGAGGATGATAAGGATGTGGCATGAAAAACAAATATGAAGTGTTGGGACTCATGCACAAAAGAAAAAGTATCAGACAAAAGTCACATATGGGGAAAATAAATTGGATTAGAAGGATTTTTTTTTCCTACAGTGAGAACAAAGGTTGATTCTGATTTAGCTGAAACAGAGAAAGAAGTTGGAAGAGAACATAATGTAGCAAAGCTGCTCGGTTTGTCACAGAACCTGAAGAATGAGGAGCTGCTGGCCGCCTTCAGCAAACTTCAGAGTAAGGCGAGGGTCTCCTCATCATACAGGGACACACACACACACACAAACACACACACACACAGACTGGTGTTCGAATCACAAGCTCTGCTAATTACTAATAAAAAGTCATTAAAGCTGACCACTTTAAACTGCCATCGTCAACATGGTGGGACGCCGATTATGAACAAAGTAACAATAAATCACAGAGGAACTCCGTGTTCAGAGCGAAAATAAATGAATGATTCACCAGTTTGACATTAACTGACCGCAAATCAGCCGAGAAACGCCGAATTACACGACTGAATTGGTGAGGGGAGACGTCATCCTGTGACCCCAAAGCCGTGGGTTCGATTACAGCTCTCTCCTGCAATCGAGAGATTACCACCTCTCAGTAGAGTCCCACAAACTCTATTTAAGCCGGTAGATAGTTTGAATAATTCACTTTAAATCACACGCTTCTGCAGCAGTTTTCAAAAGACGAACTAACACATTTTATATTTACTTATTATAACAACTAAAAGCTTAAATATGAACCAATAGAGGCAAGGGGTAAAATATGACAACAGATTTATCACGTCAGTCAAGGTGACCCATCTAGTTCCTCCGAGCCAAAGGCCTCCATCCAGTCGGTAAACATTTATTATATGAGACGTCCAAATGAAAGAGCGTGCTGATGGATATGCGGCTGAATGTGTGTGTTAGAAAAATAAAGAGAGAGAGAGGTGAATAGGTGTGGGAGTGTTTACCTGCGTGAGACTGGATGAGGGTGGCAGCAGCTCTGGGTGGGGAGCCGTGTGTGTGCTCTAACCGGGACGGGATGAGTCAGAGCCGCAACAATATCTCATTTCCCTAAAGCTGGTGCTGCTTCGCAGCAGGAACCCTCCCCCGGTGGCCTAATGATGTCCAAGACGACACAAACATCAGGTTGAAATTTTTATAACCACTCAGTAATAAGTTATGAAACAAAAAAAAAGGTTGCATTAATGCATTATGTGAAATAAACCCGAACATTACCGAGGTAACACGACCTCTGGGAAATGCCCTGGTTATTTTAGGACAATTTCTTTTTATTTTTTTCCAGACAGACGTAAACAGTGAGACAGAGATGTGTGTGTTTGGAATAAAGCTATTGATCCAACAACATTTCACATGGAGGCCTTACATAACCCTCATAAAAACAAAAAAATAATTAAAAAAAAAAAAAGAAAATCACGTATTGCTGACAGGAGCATTATTTCACTGCATTATTTAAACTTTTAGCTCCAGTAAACGAGAGAAGAAACATTTTGTGTGAAGCTTGAATTTGAATTACACTTTCTTTACCTATCCCAGTGGTCAGCAAACTTTAAAATCATTTGAGCCATTTTTTTTCCAATGCTCTTGTTAAATAAAATCTATAAACAGCCATATTGATGATTGATGAGCATTGGGTGTTTTTTTCTTTTTGTTTTTATGCGATTCAGCACATCTTTTACTACCCGACTCATTTCATTGTATATGTCATTTTTGCAATTTATCCATCACGTAGAGATGTGCAGCACTTTCTCTTATTCTCGGCCATGAGGATGGCAATAAATCCTCGTGACTTTATTTACATGAGAACCATGGCAATAAACCTCTCTATACTTAAAAAAAAAAAAAAGAAGAAAAGAAAAGTGAACCTTTGAAATGTTCTGAAAAAACAAGTATAGGTCAAAGCTTTCTAACCTGTCAGCACGCGACAGCACTCGAGTGCTTTGCTCTCTTGCTCTCTTCTTCTCGCAACTCTCCACGTTTCTTATTTATAGTCGCTGGTAATAAGTCCCAGTAATGGATCTCAGATGTCACAGCAGGAGTGGACGCACCGATGCGTTCGTCAACAATTATATCCAGACACACCAACGGAGAAATTACGGTCGAATGTGTTCAAATTTCAGGAAAAACACGAAGCCATATGGAAACTTTTATAATATGTTTGACAAGGAAGGAAAAAGAAAAAAAAAAAAAAAGAAAAAAGAAAGAGGTTAAATAAATATGAACTGTACGCAGAAGATGCTCAACTATTTTCCAGTAAAGTGTCGTTACATTCCCAGGCCTCTCTGTTCAAACAAGACTTTGTGTGTTGATGCGCTCGGTGTTTCGGGGATGTTTTCCTTTTTTATTTCTTTTTTTTTTTATGCAGACAATTTTACACATATTACGCATAGGGTGTTTTTTTTTCATGCATATACAAACAGAGTGTTTGTTTCCGTTTGTGATTGTCTCTAAAAATAGAGCAGTTATCCAGTGTTGTTAGTTTCCTTCTTCCCTTCATAGAAGCTTCCTAAAACGCAAAAATTTTAAATTAAAAAGAATAACAGAGGATGATATAATGCCAAATTCCCAAATTATTCATCTGTCATGTTTTTTTTTTGTTTGTTTGTTTTTATCACTGAGAATAGTTTTTCTGTTATTTAAATGTACTTTTCTGTTATTTAAATGTAGTTTTTCTGTTATTTAAATGTGAAGTTTGATCTGGATTTTTGCCCTGTAAAGACAAATTTTTAGTATTTTTGATCATTTCAAGTGCACTGATATTGTTGTGCACTTGAAATGAGACAAAACTAACTTACAAGTAAGTTTTGAGGAAGACACAGAAGCTCGTTTTAAGCCAATAATTGCTTAATATATATTTTAAAGTACTAGTTTCACTGGCAGATTACTTCAATTATAAAAAGACATTTTTCCCATGTTGTAGGTGAAATAAGCTGCCAGTGGAACTAGTGCTTCTTCATTAACATTAGGAAATGATTGACCAGCTCCAATTTTTTGCTGAAAAGTTACTTGTAAAGTCAGTTTTGTTTCATTTCAAGTCGACTAAGACGTTTGAAGAAACTCGACCAAAAACACCGGGTAAGATTTGGTGTTTTTGCAGCGTGTAGTCACCCTCAATTACTCCGATACATTCACATTTGAAGACTAAACGCAACAAGCAAATATTGAGGAACACTAAAAAAAAAAACTAAAAAAAAAACACTGAATATCAACGAAAAAAAAACAAAACAAAACAACAACGAATAAATCAATCTCTGGATCAGATTGTGACAATCTGCAGCTTTCCGAGAGTGTGACAGTAAAATCAGAACCGTACAGAGAGACGACAAAAGTCCCACTTTGACAAAAACGCACAATTAACACAGAGCAACTCATAACCACAACAACAACACAGCTCTGCTTTGATGCCCACGGCTTGCTTCGCGAGGGGAGCCGTCGTTTTCCCCTGATAAGAGAAATTGTGTTTGCAATGAAAGTATCAGGCTTATTGTGCAGTTTCATTTGACACAGCCACCAATTTCAGCAGGGGGAAGGCCAGAGTGATTTCTCTTTGAGGAAGGAGATAAGGTGAGGAACGGCTGAGTGCAGGCAGAGCCGAGTCCATCCAGGAGAATACTGTGCAGATCAATAAAGTGTTGCATGATTACATCACACAGGCTAATAACTAATTAATTCAGACTGTTTTTTTTTTTTGTTTGTTTGTTTTTTTTAGGATTAAACTGCGCAGACGGTGTCTGATTTGTTCCTTTGTGAGGTTATGACGGGTCGGCGCAGGCCTGCTTTATGTCGATAACAAAACCGGCCGAGCTCATCAGCAGCGTACAGTTACAGTGACGTGCAAAGGCATGAAATGTAAACGGTAAAATACAAAACACGCAGAGAGCGGCCTTTACGGGGGAGCAGGAGGAGGAACGTCTTATCTAACGCCAGGAATTGCAGACTTTTTACATTTCCTTTTTTCGACAGAGTAGAGAGGAGAATTTCAAAATGAGATCCCCTTTTTAAAAGAAAAAAAAAATCAGCAAAATTATTCAATAGGTTAGATTTTCTCCCCCTCCCTTCGGTTTGTCCTGAAACATTTGTAGCCTAGTTTGAACAAAATGCCACATGTAATGAAAAAAAAAAAAAAAAAAAAAATTACAATTGTAATTAACAAAAAAAATAAAAATCT